CTCTCTCTCTCTCTCTCTCTCTCTCTCTCTCTCTCTCTCTCTCTCTCTCTCTCTCTCTCTCTCTCTCTCTGTGTGTGTGTGTGTGTGTGTGCCAGTTACTAACCTGTGAAAGGTGGCGCCTTGCTGCAGGTACACCGAAGACGAAGCTGGAGCGATGGCGCCACTGGTAAGCTCCCAGGTAAGTCCCCTGGCCTCCGCCATTCTCCTCCCTCTCAGCGCTAACCTAAGGTACTAGCAGCGCCCAGCGCTGGAAGACTGCCTACTACTGTTGCATCTTCTCCGGAGAGTGCCGCTGCTGAAAGCCTGAAGACTGAATGCCAGCCTCCTAGGCGGACCAGCTATATACAGTGCTGATCCGGCTGGGAGGCTGCCCTCACCAATACCGAACCGCGGCAGGGCCTGGCGCCCAAACGGTCTGGCGCCTAAAGTTCGGGCCCAAATTCGAAAAGGTTGAATTTGAAAAAGGCCTACCCCGGCCTGGGCCCTACTGGCTTCTACCGAAAAAGGCGGCCACTAGGCCTCTACCAGGGTCTGGCATGAAAACAGGCGCCAGGGCCAGCCTGTGCCTACCGAGGCCAAACGACATGGGGCCTGAAAAGGGCCCCTTCCTACTGTGAACCGACACAGGGCCCGAAAGGCCCCTACCGAACCCCTATCCTACCTGGTCGGGCCCTGCAGGGGCCTGAGTGGTACTCAGTATGCCACACAAAGGCTCTCTCCTTTGGGTTTCACTCTCACTGCTCTACTCAAGGTTGCATATCTAGCTATGGTGGTCCCCCCATGTCCAACACGGGATGTTGAAAGGGCGCCTGAACTACTACTATGCATTTCCCAATTCATTCTTCCATAGTCACACTTCCAGATGAAGTCCACGTCCAAGTGGTGTACCCCAACGGTGGCCCTTCTGGACACAGTGCCAACCAACGAAGTAGAGATGAACGTCCACCATAGCCAAACGTAAGTTTCTTGGTTGCTTCCCTCCTTTTTCCTCTCCCTCAACCTCTACTCTCTTCTTCACCCAACTTCCTTGCCTGGCTTGAACTCTTCTCCCTCTTACCGGCATACCTCATGCCTACTGCCTTCTACTACTACTACTACTACTACTACATAGCCATGGAGGTCTTCTTCCTTCTTTTTTTTTTTTCTTCTTTTTTTTTTTTCGGTCTTCTTGCCCACCCTCGGCACCTGCTTCAACCCAGATCTCTGCCTAACTCTCCCTCAGGGTGGAACCGCAGAATGACTGCCAGGTGAATTCCCACACGACTCTCGGGTGCAGTACCTCCTCTACCCGGCGGGCATGCTCAGCCTCCACCGGTGCACTTCCCGGTCCTACACGAAGTAACTGCCGTTTGCCAGGAACATCATCGCAGCCAGTAATTCACATCCAGGGCCTGAACCTACCCTGATATCTACCTACATTCAGGCCCTGGACCATTATGGCCTGTTTGGAAGCTACGGACCTTTCGAGGCCTACCTGAGTTCCCGGAAAATGCTACCGCATTCCTGTTGTCAAATTCTACTCTTGTTCTTGTGTTGTCCTAGACTTTCTTCTCAGTCCATTGCCCATCCAATTTCAGTCCTACCCCTGTCGCAATACCTCTTTACTGTTCTACCGCTCTTCCGGGACACAGAAAACATAGTACGAGCCAACAGGCAGCAAAACACACTCAAACTCGGAAATCTACTGCCAACCAAAAGACAGCAATACCCAGAGAACTGCAGAAATCTCAGGCTGCAACGGCACGGGTGCTTGCATGATAACGAAATGCCTGCTTATCTGTGTTTTTTTGGCACCTCCTTGGTGGTCGAATCCTACACAGTACTATGCAAGCACCCTTTTTTTTTTCCTTCTTGTCTATTTTTTTTGCCCTTCTAAGGTTTTACTGTTTCATGTTTTTTGGAATTTCCATAACAAAGCGGTTCGTGGGGTAATGTAAGGGTCCAAAGTCGACTTGTGCTTAACTCTGATAAACAGGTAGTGTGCTAAGTGTGAGGTAAAAAAAAAAAAAAAAAAACATGGTAACCCCGGACCCGGACATTTCTGGACCGGTCCGGACTGTCCGGTGATCCGGACATTACTGGGCACCCGGACATCACCGGACCCGGACAGTCCGGACCGGTACGGGGGGTGCATAAATGTCCGGACCAAAAAAAAAGAAGAAAAAAAAAAAACAAAAAAAAAACGGGTTGGGGGGGKGGGCAGGGGTGTGGGCAGGCACTTACCTGCTTGGCACTTTGTAGTTCAGGCAGCAGAGCACGTGTCTTGCATCAAATAAACAAGCACATTTAACTAGCAGACATGCAGAGTTGCAAACAGTGCAAAGCAGGCACAAGACTAAAGAAACAGAGAATTTTTTTTTTGAAAAAAAAAACTTCAAAAAAGTATAATCATACTCATTCTCCGTTTCTTTAGTCTTGTGCCTGCTTTGAATTTTGGATTCATCCTCATCTCTCTCTCTCTCTCTCTCTCTCTCTCTCTCTCTCTCTCTCTCTCTCTCTCTCTCTCTCTCNAGGCCCAGTTGCCCCAGTAGGCCCAGGCTGGTAACAAATTCTGAGGCCCAGTTGCCCCAGTAGGCCCCAGTTGCCCCAGTAGGCCCAGTAGGCCCAGTAGGCCCAGTAGGCCCAGTAGGCCCAGTAGGCCCAGTTGCCCCAGTAGGCCCAGTACGCCCAGTAGGCCCAGGCAGGTAACAAATTCTGAGGCTTTGCATTTGTGTGTGATCTCAGATCTGTGGCTATGGTTGACTTCTGGAGAGCTTTGACTCTTGGATTGCTGGACGTGGTAGAGCCTGATTGTTTGACTTCCAACGGGCTCGGTTGACTTTCTCAGTCCTTGGGGACTCAGTCTGGATGCTGCGCCCCAAGGCCATTGACGACCTCGGGAGTTATCGTCTTCACCGGGATAGAACGCCTGGTCATTATTGCTGCATCTAGACTGGAAGTTGCTCCAAATACAGCTATAATCACCAGGCATTCCATTCGGGCGACGACGGTAAGCCTTGACTGCTGACGTGCCCAGAAGCTTGCGACCAAAAGACTTGGGCATTGCTGGTTTGCACCACACAACTTTTACGATACAATGATATTATTAGGGGCTGAAGAAACTGGGCCTACTACTGTGACTATAACTATTGCATCCAAGTGCTTCCATTCAGAATTGAAAAGTGAAATAGGATTTGAAATTTGAATTTTGAGCCCTCATCTTCTCAAGTTCCCAACCGATTACGGTCGTTACAACACGGGCGTCGGGCACTCACCTGTGTATGCGAAATCGTATTTCGGCTGCGGCTTCTCCGTGAATCCGAACCCGATCCAATCAGGAGCGAAGCAGTGGTAGCCATGGTTGTCCGACAACTGTGAGAAAACAACATTGTCATCCATCGTTGAATGGGCAGTAATAAGTTAAGTCACCATTACAAACTGGTTAGGTAGGGGAGCTCAGCAAGCAGCAATGAAGCACCTTCGTTAATTGGCGATACTGAAATTTGGAGACACATTGACATCACAGTCTGCATACAAATTGCTTGAGCCGGATGACCTGCTCAAGGCCACATTTTGTCTCACATGTTTTCTCACATTTTGTCAGATGACCTATTAAACCACCAGTACTTTTTAAAAGTTGTGCCCGTTAACAAGCCACGATTTAAGGAAACGTACAGGCCACTACAGGAGCGGCCAAATTCATCCGACTGGAAGCGTTTCTACTCTATTTTTTTTTCCGGGGCCGATAGCTGGGCCAAGTACTGGTGGTTTAATTGTGTGACCTAATAATTTGGATAACCTGCTGGATCACCAATCCAATAAGTGTGGCACCTCAACATTCTTGTAGACTCTAGGAGGCCGCGTATTCTCTCAGATGACCTGCTGGATCGACAGTCCAATGGGTTAAAGATTCGTCAGGAGCACTGGCTTGTGGCTAAGCGAAAGAGAGGACCCCATGGAGGTAGGCATAATGACGATGACAACGACGACAACGACGACGACGAAGAAGAAGAAAGTGGAATAGATGTTGAATGAGAGAATTGAGGGGGGCCGGGGGGAGCAGGTTTGGACCTCCTACAATTCTTGGTTTCGATGCAATCTGGCAGTCTCAGATCGAGTCAGATGACGATCAATCCTCCCTGACAAGAAGTAATCAACGCTGTTCAGGGGTCCTTCAGCCGTAACGGAAAGAAGCATGTTAGTACGTGGCAGAGGCACTCCATCTCCTGTCTCTTATACACATCTAGATGTGTATAAGAGACAGGTCCGGTGGGGTGAAAGGACACTTAAAAATCACCCCGTTATTTTTCGAGGGACGGCCAGGACCCCCTTTTTTGTTTTTTTTGCCCCAGGGGCCTCCATCCGGACATCAGGACCAGACACCGGACACGGGACACTGGACACGGGACACCGGACACGGGACACCGGACACCGGACTGTCTGGAACCCGGTCCGGATGTCCGGACGGTTACCATGAAAAAAAAGGCCCAATTCCCTCAGCTGGGCAGCAGAGAACAGATATGCCCTAAACTCAGGCCCAAAGGGAAGAGAGCCCGGCCAGTTGAGAAAAGGCCGGGCCAGGCCTACGAGCAGGGATGTCTGGGTTCCGGTAGGCCTTGGCCAGATCCGGAGTCTTTGGGAGGGACTGCCGACCAGCCCAGTAGAGATCCTGGCCTCCGGATATAGGGAGAGGGTGGGAAGTCAGAAGCCCACTCTGGCCTGGGCAAGCGTCAGGAGGCTGCACTGTATAGAGTGAGGAGCAGCCAACATCGGGACAAGCGCAAGCCCGACAACGCGACTGGGAGAAGTGCCAGTGCCAGCCATAGCTGTGCGCTGAGGTCGGACTGAGAGGTGGCGCTTGCAGAGGGGCGATATTGGGGGGAAGAGGAGAACCATAGACAAAGAAGGAGAAGGTGACTAACTGACGGACATACCTGTGGTCGCCAAGAAGTGCTCTGGCGTTGTGTTATCTCCAGTCAGGTATCAGTGTGACCAGCATTGCATTCTGTGTCCTTATACATTGGCGTGGTGTGGACTACCTTATTCCCCCCGAATACAACGTACCGTCATTATAGCTGTATTTAGACTGAAAGATACCCCAAATACAGCTATAATTACCGTACTTTGTATTCGGGGGAAGAAGGTAGGTTAGCAACTTGGCAGTCAAGAGTAGGCGATCACATTTTTTGGTTGGCGGACAGACCAGCTTTGCACGGAATTAATTTTGTTGTCGTTTTGATTTTATGGAGGCGAGAAGAGGGCTTTCATCATCAAGAGACTTCAACATCGTTAAGAAAAAAACAAAAAAAAAACAAAGGGCAATGGCCTTGATGTAATTATCATTTGACTAACCAGCCCAGGTAAATTCAATCTTGTGCCTAACGACTCTAATGAGTCTAATCTGACACCGGGTGGCCTTTTCAGCCCAGGGTGGCCTTCATCTATTGCCTTCTGGGAACCCCCAAGGCGGGGGGGACACCGGCCAGGGGACAGCCAGTAGCAGGGGGACCGCGCATAATCTGAGTGGCCAGTCGCTGTGCCTCCCCGATTACCCCTCCCTCTATGAACATCGGCAGACACTGCTTTTTAATGCAATTTTTGGGGGGGGCACCAACGGGCTATCTCTTTGTGGCGGGCGCCAAGCATGCCCAGGAAGGTACATGCGGCCAATGGGGTTTGAACTTTGAACCCAACACCTCCTGAATGCCACTTCCGTGCCTTACCAGCTGACCTAGGCCGCTGGATAGACCTTAACGATTGTCAATTCTTGTACCGAGCGAGCGTGATTATTGCGTCATCATTTCTGCTAATTGCATTGCCATGTCGCCATATGAATGCAGGTCACGAGAGTTCAATCTTCTATTTGCAATGGAGTTTCTCCATTGCGGCTTCCTTACATTTTTTGCTGAGCAAATCAAATCAAAACAGAAACAAGAGCAAAAACAAAACGATAAAACTCATACCGCCAATGGGCCTGACTCGTGGAGTTCATGACACCTGATCATCATGCGCATGCCCGCAATACTCAATGAAGAACAGCTTGGGAAAAGATAGCAAGGTAGTCAAAGGACCGACAAAAGCAGAAAAAGAAGAGGGGGAGAAGAAGAAAATTAAAAAAAATGAATCGAGGTGATATTCAATCGTTAAAATATCCTTTCCCTCACCTCCCTTCCGATCCATCGCGCTCTTCTCTCTCAATGTGCCCCCTCAGCAAGCAGTGCCAAGCACCCATCCTATCTCCTATGAGCGATGAAGCCTCTCCTGTCCTCTCCTGTCCTCTCCTCTCCCTCTCTCAACAACTCGACGATGCATTGCCTCTGGAAAAAGCTCTCCCCCAAAGCCATCTCTGTGAACAACAAGAACAACTAGAATATTACTCCTAGTTATGCCCATCTCCTAGCTCTATGAAGAACAACACCACCTGAAGCAAAGTGCTGCCTCCTTCTTCAATTGCAACACCAGTAGGTAAGTCTGATGTAAGCTTCACTCTCACTCTCCTCTCTGCCACAGGCCATGGCATCTGCATGAGCGCCTCCTACGGCCCTACTCCTAGCTATGGCTACCGCTCTTCCTCTCACTCGTTCTCCCTCTTTCTCCCTTCTTCTCTTCAGTTCAAGGGCTCCGGTGAGCGCAAGCCAGAAATGAATGTCCAAGACGGGGGGGACCACCATACTTGTAGTCTCTCACCACCCTGGTCTGCCTCCACTTCTGGAGCATAGAGGGCCAATGATCCTCCGATCTTGGTTCTTTTTTTTTTTTTTTTAACAGGTCCTTACGATCCTGGCTCCATATCCGGTCTTGGTTCTTAAAAAGCAGGATTTTCAAAATCGTCGGCAATTACATGCTTAATTTGTTCTGCCAGGGAAAAATAAAAAAAACTGTTCTTCTAGGGGAATTCGATGCTCGGCATCAGCTGAAATGAAACAGTTTTCACCTTTGGCAGTAGCCGATGCAGATCCCAGGGGTCGATCCCTTGACCTCAGCCTACCTGTGTACAGTATCTGTACAGTTCCCTGGAGTTGAACCCGTGACCTGCACGATAGCCAGTGGTAAGTAGGTCACCGTAGGTTGTAGGCTGTAGGAAGATTCGAACTGTAGACCTGTAGGGTAAGAGTCCAAGTAGAGTCCAGAAGCCCAGCTNGAGAGAGAGAGAGAGAGAGAGAGAGAGAGAGAGAGAGAGAGAGAGAGAGAGAAAGAAAGAGAGAAGAGAGGTTACAGGCAGAGGTTATGTCGGGCTATGGGGCCCAGGAGCTGATTCGATATCACAGGGGCAGATATTGAGTGGACATTTGACAGGGAAACTATTTTTTGGACTGCGGTAGCGCGACTTTGGTCTTCTCCCTCACCTCCATCTTCGTCTTGCGCTTCCTCCATCGGACTCATCCCCTCATCCGTGGTTTCCCCCCTTGTGCGTGCTCAAGGAGGGACCTTTCTTCTGTGTTTGCGGTCCCTCCCTTCTCTCTTGCATGTGTGGTGTCTGATGGGTTGGGTCGAGTCAATGTCTAACTGGTCAGGTCATATTTTGAGTCTTCCACTGCGCTACATTGTGCCATTTTTTAATGTACATGGATGTACATTGCTTGTTGATGCTTCGCTGATGCCGCGTTGTCCATCCGTCCTTATCATCACTTGGCTGATCCTTGGGCTCTATTGCATCACTCCGATTATTCCAAGTATGCATCAGGCACACACACACACACACACACACACACACACACACACACACACACACACACACACACACACATGAAAGGGCCTTCACAATTCAGACCCCGAATTCCGACCCCAATATAAGGGGGCCCAGTCGGCCAGGTCCTGAAGTTACGAATCAGCATTTGAAAAGGACAGGTCTCCTGAGGCAGAGGTCGTGTCCAGACTTTAACGAAAAGTCACTTTGGAGTCCAGTCCAACAGGTACCCAGCGAACAGTCACTTTCCACGAGAGAAAAGGCAGATTCACAAGCAAGAGTCATGTCTCAAAACAGGAGTCACGTTTCATAATGAAAAGTCATGCTGAAAGGTCACCTTTCACGAATAAAGGACTGTTCTGCAGGCAAAAGTCGTGATTCAGAGGTAGAAGTCAGTCCACAGTCATAAGTCATGTCTACAAGTGTAAGGTCACGACTCAAAGGCCCAAGCAGCAGCAGACCAAAGGAAATTCGGGACGGTTCCGGGCCTTACCTTTCAGAAGCAGACAGGCCGTGGGAATGTGGTACCAGGACCCAGTCAGGCCCCAGGAAGTAGAGGCTGGCACGAGTTGAAGTGTATTCCAAGACTACAAAAGGACTGGCCAGCCTACCATTCAGGCAGATGCTCATTCGCACGAGAGTGTGGAAGTGCTTGTGCACTTGTGCGCTAGTGTGGGAGCTGCGCTAAGCCAGAGAGCAGCGCTGAGTGAGAAGAGAGAGAGAGAGGAAGTAGATGCTGGCAGGGAAGAAGGCAGCCATAGCTGCGCCAGCACTAGGAAGCAGTATAGTTAGTAGTTAGTAGTAGTAGAGCAGTGAGTAGTATTCAGAGTTGATCCTCATGTGTGTGTTAGTAGTAGGGAGTGCGCTTGTGAGAGAGGAAGAAGACTGTGTAGAGAGAGAAGACCAGAATCTTCAAGTGAGAGATAGATAAGAAAGAGAGAGAGAGAGAAAGAGACGTGGTGGTTACCTACCTGAAAAGCAATGAACTTGGTGTGGATGACGGGCGCTGATGAGCGCAGATGTTGAGACTCTTGGTGATTGAAGAAGACTTGTAAACCTGTTGAGCGCTGGACAGTTGAACTCATGATTCTCTCACTATAATTTGCATGTGATAATTGAGCTGCGTTTTTCTGGTCTACTACTCATCTCCTCTTTGTGCAAAGTGTGTGACAATGCAATCCGTGAATCTGTGAGACGTGCATGTTGGCTTGAGCACTCCATCATGTGGTGAGCTTTGAGGCTCATT